AGCCTGAGTAGCTGATTTCCTTATGGAGAATTTTGGTTTGTATGAGTTGGGAAATAGCTCAGTGGGGAGAACCATGAATGTTTAACATACTGCATTTGCATTACATGTGTGAGGTAGCCAGGTATATATGTTTAGCAAGTCCATACATGTATAGGAGAAGTTCAATGGTAAAGTCCAAGTTAGAAATTTGGATTTGAAAATGATCAAAGTAAAAATTAAAAATGAATGAGCTCAACTCATAGATGACATGCACATAGGAAGAGCCATTAACCAAAAGCATTGCTATAAATACCTATTTTTTTTTAAGAGAGAGTGAGAGAGGAGAGAGAGAGAGAGTTAGAATTTTTTTTTTTAATATTTATTTTTTAGTTCTCGGCGGACACAACATCTTTGTTGGTATGTGGTGCTGAGGATCGAACCCGGGTCGCACGCATACCAGGCGAGCGCGCTACCGCTTGAGCCACATCCCCAGCCCTAAATACCTATTTTTGAGGAATGCATAGATGATGAGGAGCATATGTTCACCACTGAGAAGCATCAGAGAGGAATGAAGCAAGCCAAATAGAAGGGTGTCAGAATTGTCACTACAGTTAAGTATTGTGGAGAGAGCTAATAAAAATGGGCTAGAAAATGGCAATTGGAATAGCATTATGAAGACTGCTTTCTGTGAAGTGCTGGGAATTGTAGTCTTCTGCCTTTCCCTTTCCCCTGTTTCAGTGTCTTCTAGTTCCATATACCTGACTTTACTGATATCTCTCCTCTTGTCGTCTGTCCCCGGCCCCTCCACCTCTCTCTGCATCTTACTGATGTTGCTGAGGCCCCACTGGTGGCCCCATAACAGTTGCTGGAGGGACTCAGTGTACTTCAGCTGTGGTATAGACCTTCATGAAGCTGAGGCTATAGGCATGAGTTTGTTAGGACATGGAAAGACAGGAGTCAGTGTGGATTGCAGGAATGGAACAAGAGCAGTGGATTGGTTTTATACACTTATAAGAAGGGGTGATGCCATGGATGGAGTTCATGTCAAAGGAGACAAGGAAGTTTGTACTAGAGAGTATTTATATTACTTCTTTTGATTTTCCAGTACCTTGCCTTCCAGGTTGTGCTTCTTTGTCTTAAAAGTGCATGCCAGCATCTTAAATCAACATTGCTTCAGGTTTCCTTTCTTTTTAGGAACTTATTTGACTCAAACATGGGCATTGCTGTTGCTCCTAAATCATGCCTTTCTCATTATTTTCTCATTGACTTAAAGTTTAGAAAAGAGTAAGCTTTTTCTTTAAATACTTTCTTTAGTTCATATTGGTTAACTTCCTGGTACTCAGCTTCCCATATGGAACTAGATCCTTTCTCTGACCCCAGTGCAATGTCTAAGCTCCCTGAACTAACCTGTTTTCCAGTGGGAGGCAAATAGAGCTGGCATTCTGCTGTCCATAGATGTCTTGAATAACCCTTGCCTACCCTCCCTGCCAYCCACTGTGGATTTTTGTCTTCCTGTCTGTTGGGAGATGCCGTCTTTGTGCCTCATCTCTCTGGAGCCAGCCTCTATAGTTCTGGTTGCTTTCTCCAGTCCCTGTACCAACACATGTCTTTTAGGAACTCTTTCTCTTCCTTGAATTTCCATTATCATTTTTTTCTTGCTAGGACAGCCTCCAGCAAGAAGATAAGTAAATATATGGCAAGAGAAGATACAATTTTCTTTTTCCTTCTCCTTTTCTTCAGCTTTTCCATCTGTTCTTAGACTCATCTGGGACCACTGTGAGACTGTAAATCACCAAGGTCAAGGAGTAGGAATGAATTTTTGTATATTAAAGAAAGATGAAAACAGTTCTTTTAAARGGCAAATAATCTTGTAATTTTTATAGTTCCCTAACTAAAAACTGAAATTGTTCATGTGTTAGGTATGTTATGAAGTCTTACCCAATCTTCCAAGTCAGTCAACTTCATTCATCAGAACTTCTCTCACACATAAAAGCTCTGAACTTTTAAGAGGAAATTTGCTATATATTAGATCAAGGTGATTTTGTAATTCATTTTCTTCATTTAAAAAAATTGTGGCATATATACACAATGGAATATTACTCAGCAATGATAGAGAATAAAATTATGGCATTTGCAGATAAATGGATGGAGTTAGAGAAGATAATGCTAAGTGAAGTTATCTAATCCCCCCCCCCAAAAGAAACAAATGCCTAATGTTTTCTCTGATATAAGGAGGCTGATTCATAGTGGGGTAGGGAGCCGGGAGCATGGGAGGAATAGGCGAACTCTAGAGAGGGCAGAGGGGTGAGACGGGAAGGGAGAAGGGGGTATGGGGTTAGAAATGATGGTGGAATGTGATGGGCATTATTATACAAAGTACACATATAAAGACACGAATTGGTGTGAATATACTTTGTATACAACCAGAGATATGAAAAATTGTACTCTATATGTGTAATAAGAATTGTAATGCATTTCATTGTCATATAAATAAAAAATAATATAAAATAAAATAAAGCAATATAAAGTCTTAAAATATTTTTTAGTTGTAGTTGGACACAACATTTTTATTTTATTTATTTTTAATGTGGTGCTGAGGCTTGAACCCAGAACCCCACATGTGTTGGGAGAGCGCAATACCGCTGAGTCACAACTGCAACTCCTCCTTTTTAGTTTTTTAACTAGCAAGATTAAAGCTCATTAAAAGGAAAAGGTGTTCTTGCCAGATGCATTTTGCTTTCTTCTTTCAGTAAATTAGAACCATTTAATCAATTAGCATTCACTTCTCACCTTAACTTCCAGACACCCAAACTGAATTTAATACTCAGTTGTAGGAATTCTCTAATTTTAGGTGTCTAATGACATCTGCTTCTCTGTTCATTTGAACAGATTATTTTCCTTTTCATTGTCTGATTTCATGGTTTTTAATTCAGCAATCAGAAATACTTTTTGGAAGTATGTAAACAAACACATCTTCATAAAATTTAGGTAGCTTTGGTCACTACCTAATGGGCTTGACCTGTTTCTATGTTTTCTCTGGTGTATGTGTGTGTGTGTGTGTGTGTGTGTGTGTGTGTATGTATGTGTGTGTGTGTAAAATCTCACAAATTGGGAGAAATTTGAATAATGTGATTTTTTTTCAGAAGTAAAGAGTTTGTTACAGAACCCTTGGAAAGGTTGTCTTAATCCCAAACAACTACCTAATGAAATATTTAAAGGCACTTAGTGCTTGCAAGCAAATTCTTATTCTGTATCCCTAGAGAAAGTAATTAATCTGGCTATAGTGTCCTCCTTCCACTCACCTCCATCCCCTTTCTTTCTGATTCATAGGATTCTTCTTTTAAATTATTACATTATAATTATYGTTATATTGTATGCATGTACAAATATGTAACAACAAATCCCATCATTATCTACAAGTGTAATGTACCAGTAAAAAAGTGGGGCTGGGCATGGTGGTGTACCTGTGATTCCAGTGACTGGGGAGGCTAAGGCAGGAAGATTACAAGTTCAAGACCAGCCYCAGCAACTTAGTGAGGTTTTAAGCAACTTAGTGAGACCCTATCTCAAGATAAAAAATAAAAAGGGCTTAGGATGTGATTCAGTGGTAAAGCACCCTAGGTTTAATATCTACTACCCCCTTTTTAAAAAGTGGGAAAAAAGATAAATAAATTATAAACAACAACAGCAAAAAAAAAAAAAAAAAACCTGGGGATGTAGCTCAGTTGGTAAAGTGCTTGCTTTGCATGTACAAGGTCTTGGGTTCAATCTCCACCACCACCAAAAAAATGTGTGTGTGTGTGTGTGTGTGTGTGTATGTGTATGCGTGTGTACACATAGCGGTGAAATTCACCGTTACATGTTCATGCATGCACATAATTTAACAATGTAATTTGTTCTCACTAGTTTTTCASTTTTATTCTCAGTCTGAAAATTGTGGGGATGGGTATATGGGCCAGTTTATGGCAGTTATCACTTTGTAGACTTAAATATTTTAGTGCATTATTCACAGAACCAATTAGGTAACCATAGTTTCTTATAAGGCTGATTGAAATTATATATTGCCTGATTTACAGTGATTAAAATAGAACTTTAAAAATGAATCTTAATAGCCTGCAAATCAATGAAATCTTTCAAGGAAGTGACCTAGTGAGAGTCCACTATTTTTTTTTTGTAGCTATCTAATAGTAAAATGTATATTAACACTATTGTAATATCATTAAAAGTTAGCATTTCACCCCTTATTTTCTTTTTCTTTTTTTAAATTAGAGCTTTATAGTTATACATAGTACTTGGGATCATCCCAACAAACCATACATGTATGGAAATCAACTTCAGTTCGTGATACCCACCTTTTCCCTCCCTCTCCTCTCCCATTTTCCTTCCTCTATACTCCTTGACTTCTTTTTGCTTGTCTATTAATTTGTATTTGATTGGTTCTTTATATTATCCTATTCTTCCTTCCCCCTTTATTTTACTCTAGCTTCTTCAAATAAGAGAAAACATTCAACCTTTGAGTTTCTGAGTTTGGCTTATTTCACTTAGCATGTTATTCTCCATTTCCTTCTATTTACCAGCAAATGTCATAATTTTATTCCTTTTTATGGCTGAGTAGGACTACACACACACACACACACACACACACACACACACACACGCTGGTATATATATTGTGATATATATACCCCATAGTTTATTAATCCATTATTGACAAGCTTTGGATTGATTCCATAATTTAGCTCTTGTGAATTAGCTCTTGTGCTGCTATAAACTATATCACTGTATTATGCCAATTTTTTATCTTTTGGAAAAATACCAAGGAGTGTCACCCCTAATTTTCAATATAAGCTTTCAGCTATTACAAATCACTCAACTTGTTCATTTAGATAAAAGTTTTTTAAAGTTAATGCAAACTGTTTGTATCATATTGGAATCAAAGTTAATGCAGTATGGTAAAATAACCTTGTATTAGAATCTTAAAACTCAAGAAGTCTTACATTCTCCGTATGTTTTGGCTACAGCCCTACCACTTATGTTTTGGATGAAGATGAACCTCGATTCCTTGAAGAAGTTGATTACAGTGCAGAAAGTAATGATGAGTTAGATATTGAATTGGCTGAAAATGCAGGAGATTATGAACCTTCTGCTCAAGAAGAAGTTCTTTCTGACTCTGAATTATCAAGAACATATCTACCTTGAACCCTTTGCCATATCTTGTTAACTGCAAAGAAGAAATGAAATATCTTGGTTTTTATTACACAGGAAATTTGAGGGAAATGAGTTTATAGAGAGCTGACTCAAAAAGAAAACCAAAAAAACAAGAAGTAACTTGGGCCTGTTTGGTTTCAAGACAATAAATATGTTATTAATTCATGATAAAATTGGCACTTTGTTTTATTTTAGATATCAATGCACTTTATACAGCATTGAATTATCAAATAATGGATTTACTTAAAAAAAACCCTGAGTATCATTGCATGAATTTTTATCTCCTCATGGTTATATCCTGCATCAAAATGGATAATTTTGAAGTGTGTCAGAATTTAAAATCTGAATTCTAGAGTTGTTGAAAACTAATATATATGTACTTGGATTTCCATGCGTGTGTTTGTGTAGAAATGGGTAGATATTGAAGATAAAACTGTTCTTCAGAATCATGCTGTTGGATTGTGACTGAAATAATCCAGAATTTGCCTTGAAACCATTACATTCTACATTTACTAAATTAAACAAATAAAAATTATATTAAATGTTGCATTTATTTCGTCATCCTTTTTAACCAGCTTAGATTATTTGATGTGTAGAACTTTGTGAGAGTATTATAAAAATCCAGTACCTGAACACAGTGATAAAATTTTTTTTTAAGCCTAAAGATTTTGGTATTATGGATATACCTGTACCTATCATAAAAGATATATTTAAACAGCTCTTTTCTCTAAAATTGTGTATCATGGATGCACTTAAAATTTTTCACTGCAGTCAATTAAGAAGAGTAAAACCACTTTGGATACAATCTGATGTTAAATGTACATTGTTTATTTAGCATCTTGTGAGCTGTGCTATGTTATTAGATTTATTGATGTGAATTTATTTAGGGCATGCTGCTACTAACATCAGAGTCCAAGATGACTGCAGTGAATCTTGTAGTGATGTTTTCCTGAGTTTTAGCCCTCCTGCTGCAGGAATGACTTGTCTTCAAATAAAATAAAATGAACCCAGTGATTTTTGAATAAGTGCTTTAAGAACTAAGTTTCTGTTGTAACAGTACAAATCCTCCAAAATAACTGTATCAATAAATTCTTGCCAGAATTCAGGTCTTAGTTTTAGTACATAARTTCCTTGCTTAATCTTAGATTAGAATGTTTTTAACATTAAAATGGAAAAGAAATTATAAAAGTGTATTTCAAATTTATGCATTTTCTAAATCAATTGTATTTTTTTTTGTACTGTTTAGGATATTTCATCCACAGTGCAGATTCTCTTTGATGTCTTGGGAGCCATGTTTAAAAACATAGTGTGAGGCAATTGAAAAGAGATTTTTTTTCCCTCTAAATAGTGTACTTCTTATTAATCTCAGAAAATGAAGATTAAATAGACTGTGAAGTTGAACCAATCCTATTAGTGTGGTAGTCTAATTTAGGAAAGATCAGGATAATTTAGCAAGGTAAAGCATTATTTATTTATCACTTATTTATAATTATAAATATTTTATCTTTATATATAAAAAATTACATATTTTATTATAATTATACTGTTACCAGAGAATAGATTATGCAACCATCATATCCATGTATGAATTTTTCTTGACAAAAGTTTTACAGAATTAGGAATTAAAAAAAAAAAAACAAGATAGTCAAAGCAACCATAGTTACCATAATGTGCAGAATGACTCAAATTTTCAATTTATTATTTTAGCATTGTAAAAWCCCCTTATGTGTACAGTTAGTAATTTTATATTGACAAAGTACATCTTTTATTATAGTTACAAACCTGAACATTTTATTACATATTCACAAGGTTGAAGAGAAAGTCTTTATAGTTAGGAAATGTTTTATTCATAACCATAAGAAAGTAAAAAGTAATATAAAATTGTAACTTTCCTAATTAGAGGTATAATTAAGTTTCATTGGCTATTACTAATTAAAATTGCCCTAATTTTTATCTTTGAGACTCCTTTATTTATTTGTTTGTTTGTTTATTTTTAAGAATTTCCAAAGAAGTTTGGGATGCTTTCACTACTGCAGTCCTGAAAAATCAGTCCCATACAGCAATGATGAGGTCTGATAAAATGAACCTATTTTTTATTTTATTTATTTTTGGTACTGGGGATTGAACTCAGGGGCACTTGATCACTGAGCCACATCCCCAATTCTATTTTGTATTTTATTTAGAGACGGGGTCTCACCGAGTTGCTTAGTGCCTCACTTTTGCTGAGACTGGCTTTCAACTTGTCATCTTCTTGTCTCAGCCTCCTGAGCCGCTGGGATTACAGGCAAGTGTGTGTCACTGCCCCGGCCAGAAATTGAACCTTTTGAAGAGAGTTTAGATGTATTTAATTTACCTTGCATTTGGGACTTTGAATTTCTTTCTTTCTTTTCTTTTCTTTTTTTCTTTCTTTNTTTTTTTTTTTTTTTTTTTTTTTGCTACTGGGGATTGAATCCAGGGGCACTTTACCACCTTTACCTCTGAGCTACATCCTCAGCCCTTTTTCCCATTTTGAGACAGGGTCTTGCTAAGTTGCTGAGGCTGGCCTCAAACTTGACGATTCTCCTGCCTCAGCCTCCCAAGTCACTGGGATTACAGGCATTCACTGCACTCCACTGAATTTCTTAAATGTAGTTTATATCTAATCCAGTGGTTCTCAAGCTGTGGTGTTCATCAGAAGAGGACTTCTCAAAACACAGATTGCTGATGGTATAGATCTGGAATAGGGCCCAAGAGTTCTGCATTCCTTATAAATTGCCAGGTGGCAATGCTGCAGGACCACATTTTGAAAATCACTAGCATACTCTGATGCACTCTTTTAGCATCCTCATTTCCTAARCATCATAGGCCCTGATCTTTACTGCACAGAAGTCTAATTAGGTCACAGGGTCACTCAGACAGAACCAGATGTGAGCCCAGCTCTCTGATAGCTTGGCCCCATGTTCTTTCCACAAAAGGAGATGCTATTCTGTGCCTTTCCCCAGGGAGTGAGGACTGTTAAAAGTTTAAGGATCTTTCCTGAATTTGTGAAATGTGTTTAGGCAAGGGARAGGGCAAAATCCTATGGCTCACCTTGGCTTTTTATTATGGTCACAGTCTTGTTTGAATACAGGAAGTATAATTAGTCTCTGCTACTTTTGCTAGTTTTTGTGTGGTATTTGGAAACATTGGTCTGAATCTTATTACAAATAAATTACCTGGAGTTATGCTTCAGGTGGAATGCTAACAGCAATGATTATGATATTTGTCAATTTCACATATCCAAATTAATATAATGGTATAGACACTGAAATGGATAATACAAAAATGTACTAATGGAATTGTTTTTGTGCATGAACCAGAAATAAATGACAGTAATGAAAAAATAAATGTATCCTTATAAATTTTATTGCTTTCCTATGCATGCTTTAATTGTTACAAAAATATTAATTGAAAATGAGTGAGTTTTTTTCCCTATTTTGGAAGGTTTCATAACATATGTAAACTGTAGTTCTTTCCATTAGGAAAACCTGTTTTAATTAAGACACTATTCTACTTTATACAATAGAATGTTACTATTAACATAAATAGTTCTCTTATTATATTCAAATTCCTGCAACATAGAAGAAAATCTAGAAGAAAGTTTTATTTTCTTTATGCAAATGAAGTTTTGTCCTTAAAATGTTCCATGCCAGTTGTTTTCCTTTAGTAATGGCAGTTAGCACTTTTACTTACCTGTACTGGTGGAAGGTGATCATTAGTAGTGCCTTATGATCCTTCCTTCCTCCCACTCCATTGCAGATCCTTTCTGATTTCCAGGATTCCTCTAGCAAATCTTACCATTTTCCCTGAATCTGACTGGTTATTAGAGGCGTTTGAGTTAAAAAAAAATTAATTCAATTTGAGGCTGCTAACAATGTAGTGCTAAGCTGCTGAGGCTGGCAACTTATGTATATGTATTTTATAATAGAGAGGAGTATCCACTTTATGCCTATCTTTGCTAGTCTTTATTTCTCCCTCATAAAGAACTATACAAAGCAAAGCAAAAGTGCCTAAGTCCAAGTGAATGACCCTCTTCTGTGGTATTTCCGGCTAGTCAGAGGTATTCTGCAGCCTGGGATGTGGGCACCATTTCTTGAGTACTACAGTGATCCTTGCTGATATTCATTTGTATTTGTATATGTACATATTCACACACTCCAATGAAGTGGCAATGGCTTTGTGGTACCTCTCTATTTGTAAACCCAGCTAAGTTTGAAGGAAAGAAGAAATTTAGCTTCAAATGTTCAGAAAGTTTTACCTGTATAATAACAAATGTAGGACATTCCTTTCAAAGCTATCATTGGTAGAGTGGCAAGGGATTATGAGGCGAGCAATGGCAAAAATCTAGTCAGGGTAATTATGATGCGTGATCTTCCAAATTTTGGTGGTGTACTTTGAAACAACATAAAAATATTTTTGACAAATGGTAAATATGAAGAAATTATAAAATGCAAAGGTGCTTGTTATTGAAAATTAAAATAGGCTGGAAGTTCTATACCTTAGAAAATAGATTGAATTCTCTATGGCTTTTTCTCTGGCTAAGGGGATAAAGTAGGAAATTTTAGACTGTTTCATGCTAAATATTTACTAAAGTCAAATTATATATTCTATTTATAGGATCATGACTTTTTACTTTTATACTTTCCCATTGGTACTTCATATCATCTGTATGATTTCTTTTTTCCTCTGTTTTCCTTACATTTATTCTTAGAAATGTTTGACATTCATGTTTTTTTCTTTCTTTCAGAATATAGGGCAATTGAAATAGTGATTGAATTGTACAATTTCATATAAAAAGATAAATTTTAAAATCTGAAAATATCTATTTGTTACCATTTATGATAAATATAGATACTTAAAACATAGATGCCATTTATGATAAGTATATGTATTTATAATAGAAAGGAGTATCCAGTTTATGCTTACCTTTGCCAGTCTTTATTTCTCCCTCATAAAGAACTATTCAAAGCAAAGCAAAACAAAACWAAACTAAACCATTGTTACTGTCACATAAAATCCAAATCTCTTACAGGATGGATTGGATGCCTAGGTGGTTTCCTCCGGAACACCCAAACTTCTCTTTTCTTAACCAGTGTTCCAGATCAGTGTGTTCTTGCCCTTTACCTTTGGGATAATGCACACAACCTGAATGGTACCATCTGGCACATTCCATCTTCTGACTACAGAGATTGGGTTGGGGTAGGTAAGTTGGCTAAGCCAATCCAAGCAGAATTAACGTCAGGGCTTTGAATGGCAATGCTAACAGGACCCTTTCTTGTAATTAAGGTTAAAGTTGCAGGCAGCCACAGTGCATCCAGGAGATAAGATGCCTGAGATGAACCAATATTGAAGGAACAGAGCTAAGACATTGAAAAAAACTGGATCCTTTTATCATTTCAGCCCCACATCAAGCTGTACGTGAAACTTCAGGTTGTTTCAGTTCTGTGGACTTGTTTACTCACCTTCATTGTTGAAGCTCTCTGAAAAGGATTTTCTGTTACTGTGGTACAAAGTACATAGATGTCTGAAACCTATCTGAAAAGCCAGCAACTTGGGTCCATTCCAGAAGCAATGACTCACCCAAAGCCATGTCCTCAGAGAAATTAAAAGGAAGGGTTGAGTTCTTTTACCCAAAATAACACTAGAGCAGGCACAATAGATTTTTGCCTCAAACACATCAGACAAACTCAATTTTCTTTTTTGTCTGCCAGAAAAAAAATTATCTGGGCCTGAAAAGAGCCACACTATTGTCCATGATACTCTGAACTTGGAGACTATTTCCTCCAGTGATGATATTTATCATTAGTTCAGAGATAATGTCCCAAGAGCAAACTTTTTAGCATCTTGAAATTTCTCTCTAGTAATTATGAAGGGCATAAATGTGAGTATTAATATTGAAGTTGAGCTCCTCTTTAATGGTACATCATGGTAAGATGGACTGGGGAAGAAGCTGAGAAGAATCAAGAGATCCCTTTGCTGAGTGGTACATAATTGGACAAACTTATGCAAAGATAGAAGTTGGATATCTCTAGCCTCAGCATGGGTAACAGAGTGAAACTTAGCATTATTCATTTAACATTCCAAAGCTATTTCCATCCAACTTTGGAACTGCAAATTCATGCCTTTGTCACCCATACATAGATATAGGATTCATAGATAATTATCATTTGAATGGCCCTTTAGSGAGTTTAAGGGTAACATTTTTTCCCTAAAACTTACCTTAGTTTAGTATCATACAAACACTATTAGCAGATATGATTAGGCTTTCCACTTTGTACATGAGGAAACTGAGGTTCAGAGAGGCCAGGTGACTACCTGGACTTGCTAATATAAAGTGGGGTGGGCTTTGTCCATTGGGGATAACCATGAACAACTTCTCACATTCTGGTAGCCAGTGGCCTGTGTTTTCTCTTTGCAAGGGAATCAGGCCTGTCAGCCTTGTGTCAGTAGTTTAACCATATTGGAAAACCATGTCACTGTTTATCACCACATGCCATAGGGGTCCTTAGAAAAGTGGGAAGAACTAACACTGACAAAATATCTGGCATGGGGTAAGCACTCTCCTGGTGCTTTGTGAACATATCTCAAAGGAAACAATTTTATTTTTTAGCCCATGAAATGATTCTCATATTTTCCAAA